CCCCCTCGCCCCATACTCGACCGAACCAGGTCCCTCGCGGTGGCACGAGAGGACGTTTGTGCAATTACGATTTTCAAGATCTCTCGCGGATGACGATGTGCCGGATTATGGACGGAGGATCCGTTCGCGAAAAGGGGTAGTTTGGGGTGGAGGGGTGAAAGTGTGATTAAAACTGACGCTAATGAAAATTCAAAAGGGTTCTTTTCCTTTCCCCTATCCACCTTCGAACTCCTTTCGCGACTTAATATGACATCCGGCACCCTTGGCCCCTCGACAAAATCCACCCCGAGTCGCATTAACAGAAACCGTATTATTTCATGAAAATTAAATATTAGACAAAGTACGAAAGAGCGAATCGTCGAAGCGTGCGGATATATGAGAATTAAAATGCAGCTAGTTTCGCGAATAAAAAAAAAGTACGAAATAATTTTCATCTCGAATATGACAAAAAAATTTCATTACTCATTTTTCGTAATGTCGAAATGAAATTTTTTTTCAATTCTTTTTCTCGACTTCAACATAGATCACGCTCGCGATAACGAATCTCTCCGTTTCGCACTGTCTGAATATCAACGCACCTATTCTACTTCCACCGTTCCTCTCTCTCACTCTCTCTCTTCCAGTAGCAATATCTTTGCTTTCCATCTATCTCTCTCTTACTCTCACCCAAATTCACCTTCTCACACGTCCTCGGAAACAAGCAGACAAGACACGTTCCCTCGGCAGCACGGCCATACGATTTACGAGTCTCGTTCGTCCTTTCGTACTTGCTTCTTACTTCGAGATATTCCTGCCGCGGGGAACGACGATCGAGAACGACCTGGGTTTGCGTGGGCGTTACGTCACACTTTTACGCCGCTCATATTATTTCCAGCATACGCATAGAGAAGAAGACCGTAAGGTTACAAGGGAAGTCGAGAAGACGAAGGAAAAATCATAATTCGCCTTTTTCGCGCGGCGCTCGCGAAACATCGAGGATACGCGTGTAATTCGACGTGCACTTTCCACGGTCGCACTCGAACGGCACACCGAACGAAACGTATTGTTCGCGTCTACAAAATATTACGCTACCCAAGTTCTGCATTACTTACGCTCCACTTGCTGCGCTACCCGGCACAACCCGAGTGCATGCATGCATGCCCGACACGACGTAGAAAAATACGCGAGAAAGATTAATGCAATCGCGCGACACCCGGTCGAGATGAAGTTTCACGTCGAGCCGACGTGGATGCATTATTTAATCGAAGCCAAGGGTGTATTATTTCGCTGAGACAGAGAAAGCAGGGCTGACGTGTAACAGCGTTGGGGAGATACGGAGAGGGGGGGGTCCGTGCTACAGCGCTCTGCTACTGGATGCTGTAAAGGGGGATGCTGCATAACTCGTGCCGGAAGATTAATGCGAATCCGAGATGAGGTTCGCACCTTTGCCCGAATTAATTATTTCATCTCTAATCTCACCCTCGTGAACCTTCGGGCATTCTCGTGCACCTTCGTTAAATAGGGGATAAAAAAAAAATTGTATCCCTTAATACTCCCACGTGGGTATAAAGCAGGTTCGCGACGTGCCCGATAGCCGATGGGGGGTTGGTGAAAAAAAAAAACCAACCCCCCTGAAGCCATCGTCCCGTAGGATTGAGTGAAAGCACGAAGAGAGGAATTTGGAAAATTCACGTATAAAATTACAATTTCGTCGTATGGTCGTGAAAATATTTTCGAATCGCGAAATATACGGGAACGAAATGAGTACGGGAGGGAGAAAAATAAAGGTGGCTACGCGGGAGGGGTGAAGGGGAGAATCACCCCCCCCGGGGGGGGGGGGGGCGAGAGAGAATTCCGAAAAAAAAATAGGAGTTTTTAGCTGCGAGACGGAACACGTCGCCGCCCGTTGGAATTTATACGTCGTTTTCCCGGGCAAATAATTGTCACGGTAGCGTCCCGCCGCTCGAAAAACATCCCCATTAGATATACTCGACTTAATTTGGCTCTCGCGCCTCTTTACGGCGTCTATGTATCCCGGACGACGTACGTGCGCCTGGCACTGTGTATGGATACTTATACACGTCAGCCAGGCAATCACTCCGGATGAAACAGCCGGTTCAGGTTGGCGGAGGGTTTCATTATTGCTGCGGGGTAATCAAAGCACCGGTGGCGGAATTACTGTTTGCAATCGGAGCGAGGGCTGGAGAACGTGGGCTTAAGTATATGTATATACACGTCAAACTTATCAACGCACATGTACTATAGGAACACGCGAACGCACTATAGGAATATATGGAACGCCGATAGGGACAAGAGAGAAAAAAAATTAAGTAACAAAAAAAAAGAAAAGGGTGTATCGTAATACCGTGGTCAGTGACGGCGATGACGATAAAAAAACAAAACAATTCAAACGTAGTAGCCAACGGCAAGGACAGTGTCACCTTCATCGGACGAGGGTGGCCCGCTGTCAGGTTAGGTGGATACATAGGTATGGCAGACAGGTAGGGTGTAGTTACTCGATAAGCAATACTCTCCTATCTGTCATGTTTCACGAGACATATGAGGGTCTACGGGTATCCTACACGTCTTATATACCTTTTACAGGCGCGTACGTTCGACCTGGAAGAAAGAGGAAAAAAATAAATAGGAGCGTGGGTCGGACAAGGTGGCGGAGAGTGGAGGGCGGGGGG